AGAACATGAAAGTTCATTTATGTTTGCTGCGATTTTTTTATATAGAAGTTTTCTCTAACCTGCCAGCTTTCTCCAGATCTCTATCGGTTCCATACTTGAACTATAAATAATTATACACATCTGATCTATGCTTTTGAAGAAGGAGAAATTGTACACACTACTGTTAAAATATTTTTACACCTAAATAAAATATCAAACTTAATTTTGTATCATAAATATTACTGTGCAAAAATCAGAGAGTTTGCTTTCCTTTAGTCTGAACTAACCTAGTTTGGATCAATTGGTAGCACTCTCGTCTCTGGGTCAGAAGGTCATGGGTTCAACCACCATGCCAGGAATGTTGCATTGGAGGTGCCCTCCATTGCATGACACGTTAAATCCTTTGGTCTGCTTGTTCAGTGAATGTTAGATCATATGCCACTATTTTGAAGAAAAGCGGAAAATTATTCTGGTGTCCTTCCATATTCCTCTCTATAAACAGATTAAACGCGGGCATTCATCTCGCAGCTCTTTGTGGGATGTTGCTAGCATAGATTAGCTGCTGAGTTTGCTTCCATCATAATATTGTGTGAAGCACTTTGAGACATTTCTGCCAACGATGCTATATTTAGAAGATTTAAAAGAATAGTGCTTTTGCTCATGCCTACTTGAGCTTGCCTTCCTGGAGAAGCATCTCCTGGGATTGACTGGCTGAAATCAGGAAATTGTTCGTGAGAAAACAAATGACAAAATGTATGCCCTATACCTTACAAGGCAGAGTTATACAGCAACGAGGGCATTGCCTTTCCTCTGAAGTGTTGCATTTACTAATTTGAACTATGGCCAATTTTTGTTTTCTTTCTGGGCCTTGTTCATAACCCTGAACTTTTATACATCTGATCTATTCTTTTGAAGAAGGGGGTATACAAATTGCTATTAAATCATTTTTACACTTGTATAAAATGCCAAACTCAGTTTTGATTTATAAATCATACTGTGCATAAATCAGAAGTTTTGTTTTCTTGCAGCCTGAACTGACTTTTTTTCAAATGTGCTTTGTACAAACACATTTATGGCTTTGCTGTGTCTGTTTTTCCAAGGATTTGTTTTCTTTGAATAGGTTTTGTATCTAAATATAGGAAGATGGGAATGAGAGATACACCCCTGGGGCAATCTATTCCCTAATCTAGCAGTAATTGTTCAAGCATTACAAGTGAAAGGTGGGTTTACATGCTCCAAATAAAAGACTAACTAAGCTTAGTTGAACTTGCTACTAATTATCTTTGTCCTGAGTGATTAATTACCAAATAAACTTGCATATTGTGCTAAATATTTTAACCCTAACCATGCATATAATCTTGATCTACAACCTATTTGCAGTAGATTAATGTGAGAATTAAGAAATTCTGTTTTATCATCTTGTGGTATCTGTTCACCTAAATATAATTTATCTCAGGTTTATTGTGATTAATGTTGCATTTACATTGCTTGATTGCATGCATGGTTGTTTTTGTGACACCAGCTGTTGTATAGAAGAAAGTAGTTTCTTCATGGATGTTGGAAGCTGGTGCTACAGAATCATATAAAGTTGTAATTACCATACATTGCTTCTACTGACGGCAGTGCTAAAAGGTAAATGAGTTGCTCGCTGTTTTCTGAAGCGATGCCAAGACCAACCTAAAGAGGTGATATTCACCAGCAGCTCCAGGGGTATAGCTCAGCAGCAGCAGGACAAACATTACTACTGGAGTCTTCTTGCACTGAGTCACTCAACCCAACCTTATGGTTTTTCTCTTACTTGCCTGTACAGACCATCCCTAACCATCTGGGAAAGTTCAGCAGCCAGAAAGAGTTGTGTATATTGTCTTTGAGATAATCATGCTTAAGTTTGAGGAATTCAAGAGTTTTATCTGTTGCTTCAGCTCTGTGCAATATAAACGGCAGATTCCACTGCACTGTGTACATTGGAGTGTATTACAGAACAAAGTAGGATAGACAGCATGTTTTATCTACAATAACTATTTTTGCTCTCAAAATTACATTTTTAGTCATTATGTTGACTTTCACTCCCTGCTGTGAACCTCTTTCCCACTTTGCTTTTGTTTCAGTATGCCTTGTTTTCCCTTGATTACTGTGATGCTAAAGAAAGACTTAACTGTTTTTGGAACAAAGTAACATCTTCTCACAATATTCTATTTAAGTTTATTCTTCCCAATTGGTATTCTTATGATGTTAAGTGGAGGCAGGCACTTTTCTACATGAAAGGAGGGTAACACCAGGGTAAATCACTCTGGTCCATTATGTATTTCTGTGTAGTTGGTTACAATTCGGTGTTGTCAAAGGCACAATCTTTGTGCATCCTTTTGATTGAGTAACAGTTGCATGATACCTGGTGTAGAGAGTCTTGAGAATTTGAAGTGAAGAAAGTAATGTTAATTTCCGGGCATTATTATTTGAGGAGGCAATGAAACAGTATATGAGACCAAACTAGTGCACATAATTTTAGATTTTCAGACATTCCACAGAGGAGATGTTTAAGGACGTTTAAAGCCCATGTATGTATTGGCTAATTTGCTTGTGTGATTAAAAACCTAATACGATGCAGAAAGTAATGATTAATGGGGGTAAAAAAAACTCCACCTGGATCAGACTTACAGAGTTCCACATGGACTTGCCTATTTGGATTTCCTTACTGCTCATGTTATGAATGACTTGGGAGAAAAGTAGTCCTCGTAATATATAAAATTTGCCAAAGGCTCCAAGGACAAGTCTAATATAGAACATAATTCAAAAATGTGTACACTAATCAAGCAATTGGATAAGGAGTTATGGAATACTTGATTCTTTTATAATGTAGATCTCAGCAACTGTTGCTTCATTGCATCGTTGCCAATCATCACTATCAATGGTATAAGTATAAAAGGTACCTTCCATCTGGCATGTTACACATTGTATGCAACCAACTTTAAACTTGCAACCTGCTTCTTTACCTTTAAATTTCAATGGTTCAAGGTAGTTGGATATACTGTCATTGTGTCCTATTATTGAAAAGTGTAAAATAATTTAGAACAGTGAACAGAGCTTTTTGGTGAGCATTTAAGTGCACATGTGCAGAGGTCTGATTCTGCTAACTCGAGTGGTATATGAACAGGCAGTAAAACCATTACTTTTCATTCACATATGCTCTTTAAAAAATGATGGTGCAGGTATGCAGCTAGACATAAATTGTATAGTGCCCCTTTGGACTCCAGATATGGTATAAACGTCTTAAAAGGGTAGTGCTTTTGACTACTAAAGAACTTACTGGGAGAATTCTTTTTGCACAGAGGTTTTTATAGAGTATGGAATGGATTAACTGGAACAATGTTTGAGATGGAATCCATAATAGTGTTTAAGAGGAAATGAGAGAAATATCTCATCAGTAATATAAAAGGCTATAGAAAAAAGGCAGGACAGAATAGGACTAAATGGATAGTTCTGTCAAAGGCAGCACAGGCACGATGGGCTGAATGATATCCTGTGCTGTAAATTTCTATCGTTAGAGTATGCAGCTGTGTAAAAGAGATCGTTTATAACTTTCTAAGCCCAAGGGCATAATAATTTTTGTCTCAAAAGGTGGAACCATTTTTAACTTTATAGTTCCAAACAATGGGAAATTAATCTTGGTAAGATTGTTATTGTAACTAATTGGTCGATTCCCTTGTGAATTAAGTGTAATTGCAAAAAGTTAGATACTTTCCCCGTGTCTTTTTTTTTGTGTGTGTTACACTCTATAATAACTTGTCTCCTGTAGTAAGTAACCTGTTAGGAAGTCAGGTAAAAATGAATTCTGTTGAGATGTGATGATGATTGAGTCCGTTTGCTCAACCTAACTCTTCAGAGACATCATTAATTTGTCTGCTTGGTCTCACCCATATTAATTTATTGATGTTTTTCATAGTGAAAGTAGTTCTTACAGAATAAAATTTGAGCTCTGTTTTATTATTTATGATCTATAATCTGAAGAATTATCACAGCAGTACTGTATTTTTGTTACCAAAAGATTGAAGATAATGTTGGAGCAGGTAGAAATTGACAATAAATCTTATAACCGAAGTGCACAGCGTGAAAAGGAGTTCTTCCAGACATGTTTGGAGAGCTGCTTCTGCTCAGTAAGTGAAGGAAAATACAGGGTAGCTATACTTGCATTTATTGCATTGTGCCTTATTGCATCAGAAATTCTCCAAGCGATTCATAGTGCTGTTAAGTGTAGTGACTGTTTTTGCTGAAGATCAGAAACACTGTACTAAACTTAAATGGTAACTGACTATATGCTTACAATGGCATTGAATGCATTTCCCTTTTACTTTATACTGCATTGGAAGGTGAGGGGAAATAATTCCACTTAATAACCTTGAGTGAATTAGCTTTATTCCTTGATTCGTATTAAGGGAGAATGTTAGCCTAATTTTGTGCATCAGAGCAATTAATTTATAGGCCAACAAAACACATAAGAATATAAGCAATTTGCATTTTATAGCTGGGGCAGGGCAACAGTAGTGGCTAACATCTATATTTTTGATATATATAGATTTTATGGAAAGCACCATCTTAATTATAATTGTGCTTAAGGTGACCTAACAATACATTCTTGTTTCCAGTTGAATAAATGTGACAATGTTCAAAATTAGAGGCAGCTAGCCAAAGCTTTTGCAACCTAAAACAATATTGTCGTTTGTCCTTTTTCACAGGAGATGTAGAAGCAGTACCAGTTGTATTGTCTATATTACAGACGCAACTTATCTTCTGTAAATACTGATCAGTACTTGTCATTATCTTTTCTCTTTGACTGACTATTACTAGGACATGTTTAGTTCTTACCTTGTAGTTGTATGTGAATCCATAAAGTTCTTAATAGAAGAAAACTGAGCTTCAGAAGAATTAAACAATGATCACAGTTCTATACAGTTCTCATTTTAAAAATGAAGAATGATAATTTTACTAATATTTGGGGATTTACATATTGTTTTTCTTTCCTACAGCTGATAAGGTGATGTCCTTCCCTGTCCTACGAATTAAGCAAGAAGATATTATTGACACGAACGGAGCTGGTGATGCTTTTGTAGGAGGTAAATATTACTGTTCTTAAGCATGTTGTGTCATATACGCCCATTATGCAAATGCAAGGATTATTATTATTAGTGTTGCATTTAGTATTAATGCCTGGATATTTCCTGCACATTCTTTTCATTCAATCCAGGACAAGAACAACAGTCCATATTAAATATTACAAAATCTGATTGTTCCATGAAATCATGACTCAAAATTTCCATTCTGTTTTTAATATAAACATGTACCTGAGTGCTAATACACATTTGTATTGTGAAAATTCTAATAACCAAAGGTTTTCTAGTGTTTCTATTGCCTTTATTTTCAACCCTGGATATACATGCAGATGTTGTGAGAAAGCAATGATTGCCCTCTGTTTAAAGTTCATTATTACAGTTGCCTATGGCTGTGGAGTTTCAGATACTCATTATTGTGTAGAAGTTTCTTGGACAATGTTTCAAGTACGAAACACCTGATTGTCCAGTGCCTTGGGATGTCCTCCTGACATGAAAGGTGCTATACAAATGTAATTTTGTTGTTGTTGAAGGTAATTTTATACAATCCTAGGTTCAAAAATATTGTGTTTAAATTGATTTTGATTTCTTCGTGTTCAGTACTGAAGAATATTTAACTGTTGAATAGTGGTTTATAAATCACCCATGTTCCAGATTTCCTGGACTTCATTTCATTCCATCTTATTTACCCTCTTGCTCTACTTACAGCTGTGTGTTGAGTTGATTTGTAACCGAGGCATCAAGTTGTTGTTACTGAACAAGCAGTTGCACTCTAATAAAGCTTTAAACATGTTTACTCAAACTCAGTATTGATTTAACTGCAAGGGAGGGAAGTTGGTGCTCAGCAGTATGTCAGAGTTTAGCTTCAGCTTTAGGTTCATCTTGTCATGGTGCTAGTTATTGAAGAGAGGAAAACGGATGGTTGATGATTATATAAAAGTATAATCTTTCAAAGCCTGACATTGGGCTGTGATTGTTTGTTCCATTTGATTTAGAAGGTGTAATATCAACTAAATTCTATCATTAAGAACCTATTATTATTTTTAAAAAATCAAAACTTAGTGAATAAATGTATTATAATGACTTGATCTTAAAAACCTGCTAAAAAATCTAATTACTTCTAAGTAGGCAATGATAATCACTTACTCTGGTCCTAACCAGATCAGTAATTGGTGATTTTGGAGTAAGAAGAGCAAGTAGGATAGATTAGGTGAAAAGTAAAAGCTTTAGACCAGATGAGAGATAAAGAAGAGGGTGCCTTTGCATTTGGAGGGATATTTCATAGTGCCATTTAGAAGGTCAGGATTTGTTTTCTTGTTTGATCGAAGAGGTGAAAAACAGGAAATGGAATCATTTCCTTTCTCCAATTGTTTCCCTGTATCTAATGAAGATGCTGACTCTGCCAGCATATGATTTCAAGGCTGACAAGTGGCTCATTCTCCATGTGAGTTGGTACTTGCTTTCTCACAACATCCACATGTGTATTATCTAGAAGTCATTCCTGGATAGCACTCGGGTGGAAACAATGGTAGATTCTATCCTATCCATGGATGGGGTTGTTTCTAAATTGGGAACTTTTATATTAAAAAGAATTTGTGGCCAGCCTTTTCCTTCAATTTTCTCGCTTACTTTCCTTCCCAAAGGCACTGGCTTGTACTGGGACCAGGTCACATAACTGCCAGGTGCTCTCTAACTGAGGCAGACCAACTGACACAATGAATGGCAATGAATTTACTATAGAGAAAGCCAGGAAACATTCTTTTCTAAATAAAGTTCAGCTCGCATGTCACCTATTTTGCTGCCTTGTGATTTTTTTTATCATTGCATCATGCAATAAACTACCAAAAACATATCACCCGTGAGTGGTAAAGTTACTTTTGCAAATTTGTTTACGGATTAAAACATCATTAATGTTCTCAATTTGCATTTTCTTTGTAGGGTACCTTTCACAGCTAGTCTACAACCGACCTCTTGAGCAATGCATCCGTGCTGCTCACTATTCAGCAAATGTCATCATCCAGAATTCAGGTTGCACATTCCCAGAAACGCCTGACTTTCATTGATGTTTCATTGAATTCGTGAGATTGGGGAAAACTATTCTGTTTTAACTATAAGACACAGGGTTGCCACCTATTTAATAACTTCTCCTAAGGCCTGCATTGAGAAATCTGTACTTGGTTTTTATTCATTTTATTGTCTGTCTTGTACTATTAAAAACAGATTCAGAGAAAAATCTGCACATAGTATTTGTAACAAAAAAACAAAATACAGTTCTTTCTGTAAGAAACCATCTAGTTTAGATTTCAATGAATGTTGATCAGTTGATTATAATATCTACTTTCTAGGAATTATGATAGGTCAAAAATGCAAAGTAAAATAATTATTTGACCATTGTCTATAGAACACTTCAATGTGGATGTCTGTTTTGTTTTATTCTTGACAGAACCTTTATCGAAACTGAAACTAATAGTGAGTTACTCATTTCAAGCTGTCTGTTTGCTAGTAAGTAGTTGAATGGTATCATTGTGAAATAATCCCATTTTAGCAAGTTGCCTTGTTTTGGGCATTCTTCATATAATGAGCAGACTTGTATGTTGAGAAAAACTGAAAAGAGGTACAGAAATATTTATGCAGGCTAATCTATGCTATGACATACCAAATCAATCTGTAAATGCACAGTTTTTAAAATCTTGATGTTCTGTAGTTATTTGGGCATTGTAGTATTGTGTTCAAACAAACTGCTGTACACTCTGAAAACATTCTTATCTTTATAATTTGTTTTTGACAATAAACAAAGATTCTCAGAAATATTTTCTTGCCTTGAATTATTTTCCTTTGGCCAGTTGCGTAAAGAGATTCTAAGCAGATATTTTTAGTATTTGAAACTATGTCCAGCATAGGAACAGGAGTTTGCCATTCAGCCCATCGAGACTGCTCTGGTGTATATTAGTTTAAGATTAAATTGTTTTAATCCCATTCCCCACCTTTTCTCTACATCACCTCCAGAGAGTATCCCAGGTTTACCCAGCCTCTTTCTGACATTTCTCCCAGGACAGACTATCCTAGGGTGGGGAATACAATACTCTAAATTCAGTCTAACCAGCATTCTATCTACAAGTCTATCTTTAAAACAGCCTAAGCCTTTCCTATCATAATGTACTCTAGACTTGTTGAGAGCAGTAAATATCCAGATACAATACAAAATTACATTTCTGAAGCGCCTTTCATGTCAGAGGGACATCCCAAGGCGCTGAACAGTCAGGGATTAGGACCTGAGCCAGTGGGTGTTTGGATCAGGGAGGGTGGAGGGTAGAGAGGGAATGAGGGTGGCCGAAGGCACGGTCAAAGAGGAGGGTCTTGAGGTGTGCCTTGAAGGAGGCAAGGGAGGGAGCGAGGTGAAGCGAATGTGGGATGGAGTTCCAGAGAGTGGGGGTAAAGAGGCTGAAGGCCCGATGCTGATGGTGGGACATGGAGCAGGCTGGAGCCTGCTGAGCGGAGGGAGCAGACAGATTGACAAGGGGTTAGCAGGTCGGAGAGGTAGGAGGGCCAAGGCCATGGAGGGCCTTAAAGGTGAGGATGAGAATATTGAACTCAATCCTCTGAGGGAGCCAGTGGAGCCATCCAAGAGGGTGTGATGGGGTCACGGAGCCTGGTTCGGGAGAGTACACGAGCTGCAGAGTTCTAGAAGATCTGCAGCTTGTGGAGGGAAGAGTTGGGAAGGCTGACAAGCAGGGCATTGGCATAGTCAAGCCGACATTAGCAGTTACTGGGATTTCATACACTTCCTCCACAATTCACTGCAGATCCTGATGTTCCACTAAAACTGACATTTTCACATGTAGTGTTTTACACCTGTTAGATCTGAGATTGCAAAAACAATTATGTAATTCATAGAATTGTAATGCTGTGGCCTTTGCTCTAATTTCAGGATTAAAGCTACGAGAACCTATTTCATTAATGCACGACCACCTACAGGGAAGAAAAACCTTGCTCTGTTTCACTGAGCTGAATTTCATACTGATTCATAGAGTTCAATTCACTCTTACCATCTAGTCGTTCGTTTCATGCTTTGGAATATTAATGAGCTGAACCAGCACTAGATTCAGACATCCTGTTGCTAAAGTTTTGATGCAGTAATAACGTATTGGTTGTGTCTAAATTAATGATGCGAATAATAGGTTATTCCCTATTGCTGAACTAATGGTGTCATAAAGGCTTCCTCTTTTACTCTGTTCAGATTGGATATCTCAAATGAGATGGAAAGTGTGTGGATCATGTTTGATGCGACTGAGTTCAAAATACTTATTTTCTGGAATCAACCCAATTTTAGAGGTCAATATGAGTGTAGTATGTAAATCAATGGGTTTATAACACCATTCATAAATAGTAAACTCCAGTTTAAAACATTGATTAAACTTTTTCCTTATTGTTGTGAATCTCTCAAGTGTGCATGTTTAGACTTTTTTGCCTCAGTTATTCTGGTGATACAGTATTTGATGTTGTGAAGAGTTCCATTGTAGCTTTACAATTTGGATTTTGTAACAGTTCTCTAAGCTTTTTACAATTACTATTTTAATTTATTTTTCAAAATATCTGATTTATTAACCTACTTAGTTATGTAATTTATTTGAAAAATAAATGGATGCATTTAACAACTCTTGGCATCAGTAATAATTAATATTACAATTAAACGCAATTACACATTTGAGTAATCATGAAAATTAAGAGGGATGCCTCAGAATTGAATATTAAGTGATTATGATATATAATTTTAGAAGGAAATACCATGCAAAAAATGATGTTAGTTACTGAAGTAAATGTTTTGTGATACTGTATTTCCTCTTGCCTTAAATTGTTGAGTTCTAATCTTTTGTATGTTTATTGAACCCTAGGATTTTATCAATTAAAAGGCACTGGATGTCAAACAGAAGTTAAAAACAATGATATTGTTTGCAACAGCTTTCAAAGCTCATTGGAATTTATGGGGGAAAGGTTATCCTGCTATTCACTTCAAATTTTAAAAGCAGGGCGAAACGTTGGGAAAGTTTCCTTACTCCACACTCCTCTGTTTACCGAGCAGTAAGTAGGAACCCAGTTGTTAGTCAATTGATGGATTGCTTTTCTGAGGGTAATAATCTCTTTTTAAAAAAAATTTAAAAATAATAATTTGTTCACTCAATCCTCGACTGTTTGTGGGACACTGCTGTGCACAATTGGCTTCTGCATTTCAATTCACTTTACAGTATATTCTGTGAAGCGGTTTGAGATGTCTCAAAGACGTGATAAGGCGCTATATCAGATGCAAGGTTATTATTAAATAAAGAATTTTTTCTTCCATTGAGACCTGTTATTTCTAGTTATACTGGACCACTTGAGTTACACATGTTACACATGTATGCTGGAGATGCTCCATTTAGTGACACTGAACTTTGATGCTTCAGACCAGTTTGGAGGCTCGTACGGAGATGCCTGAGATGGGAAGTTTTGGTGTACAGGCTGAGCACAGAATAGTATTCAGGCAGCACTAACATTTCTTGGCTTGGGCATTTCCAGGTCCGTTTGAAATTCTTACTTGCGTGCCAATGACTAGATGAGATGTATGTCGGCCAACCTTGTAAATGTTACCATTGTACTGGCTCTGGGTGCCACCAAAGCCTTAAAGTGGCAGGTCTGCATGGGAGAGGAGGTGTCTAAATTGAAATTGGATACATTTTGCCAGGTTGTATCATAACTGCATTCCTTTTCCCTTGCAAATTATACAAATTGAGTACTATGCACAAAAGTTACAGCCCTAGGCTTTCATTCTTTAGTATTACGCCAATAAAAAAACGTCAGAAAGCATAAATTATAATTTTTTTAGAATATAAGTACTAGTGACAAGTTACAAAGACAAAAAGTTGGAGACTGCATAGGAGATTGTAGATTTCACTGAATAACTTATGAGTGAGTTATGTTGGTCTCCTTTGCTTGTGAAATATATGTTGTAATTAGCATCTCCCCATTCGGTATTTCAGTTGTACTGTACAATGCATGTTTTCCAGTTTTGTGTTTTATACCCCATTTAAGATTCTGGTAACTTTTTGTACCAGAGTTGTTGAGTGGTATTTTTTTTCTCTCTAATGGGGAATGGGATATGATGAAGTAAGGCAATTATTAGGCGTGAGCTACAGTGGTTCCAGCCGTTCACTCGCTGATGGTGAAAGCCATTACACAGCTGTTTGAATAGTTTCCAGCTGCTGGTGGTCCCTGGAAAGTAGTTTTGTTTAGTTGTGTTCTCAGATATCTGGAATAAATTCCCTGTCTCACATGTATGTAAATTTATTTTTGGTGTTTTGGGCTCTATGGTATGAAATATATAGATTCATATAAAATGAGGACAGTACTTTTTGAATCCAATTGGTCAAAATATATATGTAATTCTGTACTGTGTAGTATCTGCGGGCTTAATATTTAATATTAATATTATTCCTTGCATTCGATATAGTGCCTTATCTCATTGCTGAGACTTCTCAAAGCGCTTCACATAATAATACTGTAAAGTGAATTGAATGCGTATTTTGTGGGCGAAATCTGGCAGCCAATTGCGATAACCAATAATAAATAATTAATTTAGTTGGAACACCAATGGCAGTGATGGCCTTTTCACAGCAGTTTGATAGAACTTGTTACAAAAAACCCACAACAAAAGACATAATTTATCAAAACTGTCTATTCTCCACGATAAAAAAGAGTTTGCACTTTGGACCAGTTTATATTCACTTCTACATTCCAATGGAAAACTTTAACAAAATAATTGTTCATTGCTGAAACAGCAGGATGTAACTAAACTTTCAAATGTTCTACATACTATGGAGGTATGGAGCTATTATCACTATCTGTTTCACGAGAAATTTACTGATTTCTACCTTTGTATGTCACATCTAGAGATGTTTTGAGGAAACTTTCAAATTTGTACTAAAATGGAAATTGTGTGTGTGGAAGATCTGATGTGACGTAATTCAAATTTTATGTAATTTGTATTCTTTGTGTATAAAAAACTTCACCAAACAAATCCACACTTCAGGATCGAGATACTGCAGGCGGATTAGTATATTTTTCTAGGTACTTTGTTGGTTCCAAATCATTTGATGTTTTATATGTAGAAAATATACTTATCCCTTTTCTTTCTGTGAAAGGTCTAACTTTAAAGATTTTGTTACAATATGTAAGTTAAACATTTCTGTGTATCTTACTAAGAAGCACAGGCAGCTTTCACAGTTCTTTTCCGACTGAGACTGCCCTACTCATTAAGGCTTTGACTTGAGGATATCCATCACTGACTCGCTGATCAACCGTCAACAATGACTGGATTACTGCAGACCTACCTGTCTGTGCCTGATATCTCCTCAGAGCCTGTTTAAACACTCTTACCACCACTACCCTTCCCCTCAGGATTTGTTCTACATCAACCTCAAAGGGTGAGTGGACCCACTGTAATTTTTAACCAAAAACCTTCACCAATTAAAGCTGTGGGAGATGTTATAAATTCTGTTTAAAGAATAATCCTAACAAGTTGACAAACTGTTTTAATACTGTAGCAGGTGAGGATTTGCCAGTTGTTTAATTAATTCTTTATCGACTACAGTTCTAATAAGTATAATTTGGAGCAAGTTGCAGACGGTTCATGTTTTATTTCTCCGCGTGTATAGTTTAATATACCTCCCAATATGAGACACCAGTTTCTCTTACGGTCAGCTTCAAATGGGAGAAACTGAGGGTACCATGTGATGTGACTGAACTACTAAATACATTGAGTTAATTTCATCAAGTATAGATTTTGATGGGTAACACCCAGTGATTCTGTTTGATTCTGATAAATCAAAAAAAGCTGCTCACACACGGAAAAAGGGACGACTGATATTTTTTCTATGATTTTGATTATCAGCTGCAAATTTGGTATGGGACGGAAAATGTCCATTTTGTCTTAAAAAAATGAATTATCCTTGTGCAGCAGCACTATCCTTGTATTTCTGCAGCAGCTGAATGGCTTGGATCATGCAGTTACTCAAACACGGTCTCAATTCAATCTCTCTATGAACTGTGCTGAACCCTCATTGGTCAAAATATATCTGTGTTCAGATATACCATTAAGCATTTGTGGGCCATTGACCATAAGATCCATTTGGTTAGGACACCCATGGCAGTGATGGCCTTTTCACAGCGGTTTGATGATACTCAGGAAAAATATCACTGGAAGACAATAATGTATCAAACCTAGCCCTGTTATTGGCAATAATAAAACGGTTTTGCAGTTTTGAACCCTTTATAATATTTTTCATACAAATTGCAGCCGTAAATAAAGTGGTGCAGTGCAAAATGTTATATTGCCACATAATAGCTCCTTCCCCATACTGAAAATGGTACAATCTTCATATCTCGATTTGAACAGCAAACTACTTGACTGTATAAGAAGGGATTCGAACTTTGCAGACTGCATCTTTTGAAATAATCACTTTACTATAATAATGCAGCAGATTGATGCATTTTTTCCTGCGCAGTTTAATTGAGTGGTTTAAACGTTCATATGTTTTTTAAACAAGTTAGTATCAGTGTTCTGCATCTGTACGCAAAAGAATAACATCTGCAACAAAGCAAAACAAAAAGGTTTGAGGAAATAGCCTCAGAGTTAATGACAGGCTACTTCTTCTAAACACTCGTGCTACCTCGCTCGTATGTTATGTGCCATCTGTTACCCTGCATAAGAAATTAAGACAGCTGGCACATAGAATGAGATCTGAGCCAATCACCCATTGGATCTCAAGCTGCCCCCCTCCAAGGTTGTTGTATGTTGTCTTGTGAGTTTATCAAAATGTTGAAAGAAGGGGAAACGTACAGCAGCACAAATATAAAAATCCGATGGAGAGATGTGCAGTTTCTTAAAATGTTTTAAGAAAAACTAGGTGTGTATGCACTGCAACAGAATGGTAGAATTTACAACACAGAATGGAGCCATTTGGCCCATCTTGTCGGTGCTGGTGCCCTGAAAGAACTAATCATTCAGTCCCCATTTCCCTGCCCTTTCCCCCCACCCCTTAATATTTTTAACAAACATTGCTCCAGTTCCCAGTTTGTGTGTGTGTGTGTATATGCGTTTCTTTTGGGGGGGAGAAGGAATTCCAATATTTGCATTGGGGTGGGAGGGAGTGGTGAATGGGTGGAGAAGGAGCATTTGGACTATGAGTAACCGTGGATGGGGGAAAGAGACAAACCATTGGAGGATGGCAGGTTTTGGTCAGGACAGTGCTGCTGCTTTTGGGAGTGGGTGGGGGGGGGGTGTGATGATGCTCACAGGCAGGTGGTGAGAAGTTGGGCGGGGGGGGGAGGGAACAATTTTGCAGTAGTGCGCACTCTGATGCACCCTGGATGCTGCCGGTGCTAAGGCGGTGGCTGGAGTCGGAGGGAGTGGAGTCAGGGCGGTGCTCAGCCCCCCAGCGGCATTGTCGTTGTGGCGGTGGTAGGCGGAGGAGGAGGAGGAAGGCACGTGTGTCACCACCATCCGTCACCCATCAAAACACACACATATCAAAGCAGGGAAGCCTTCATCGGCTATAAATGTGTGTATTCACAAATAAATGTGTGTGTGTATATATATATATATATAAGCCAATAACCGACTTCAACACCCCACCGCCTGACTGTCACCTTCGAGAAGATTCCAATTGACACCTTCAGGGAGGATCTTTTGGGGGCAATTACATTTTTTTAAAAAGACAAGATAAATAACACCTGCTACTTCCGGGGGTGGGGGTGTGTGGGGAAGTCTCTTTTATTTTCAGTTGATGGTGTAGTCGTGGTGTTTGTTTATAAACGAGATAAACTGATATACAGATGTTTCTTTCTCTTGTTATCATTTGCGGCAGCTGCGTTTACAAACCTTCAGAAATTATTGACATGTTTCCTCTCGCTTTCTCCGCAAAACACATCACCTACCCTCTCCTCTCCCCTGAAGAGGAGATGGGAGGGAGGGGGGGGGGGGGTGGGAGAGAAAAAATAACCAGGCAAAAGAGAGAGCCTTGCCACAGTTTTTTTTCCAGATGAATAATTAATAAGGTTAATTTGCAAAAGAGGTGAGAGGATGGGAGAGAGATGCTGACTTAAAGCAGTGGTGGTGGTGGGGGGGGGGGGGTGTTGATGTAACAGTAAAGAGTAAACAGCATTAGATACTGATACCAATGTAACCCTCGTCCATTTCACTGTAAATTTACAGTCTCTCAGATTTCCCCTGTTTGTCCAGAACCACGTTAGGGGGGGGCAACACCCCCCACTCCCCCAAAATCACAGATATTCAAAAAGACATTTAATTTCCTTCTTTTCACAGTGTTTTTTCTCTCTCTGTGTGTGTGTGTGTGTGTGTGAGAGCGAGAAGGAGGAGGAGGGAGGGAGTAGGGGGTGGGTGGGTGGGTGGGTTGGATGGGGGGAGAGGGAGAGAGACTGAAAAATTAGGGAGGAGAGAGGGAGGGAGGGAGGGGAGAGGGAATGCAACATGGGCTTGTGCAGTAGCAGAGCCAACAAGCTATTAATTTTGAGTATCATTCCAGGCACTTGACATTTTATTCAGTGATTTGTTTTAAAATGATTTCCCCCCCCAAAAAAAAATAATTTTTTTTTATATAAAAAAATGTGGGATGATAAGATGGGGGTGGGTGGGGGTGGGGGTGGGGTCTCACAGTGCAAACATGCTTGTGCACTGTTGGGTGGGTTGGGTATCTGGATGATTGCGGGTGTGTTTTCCTGTGCAGGGTGAGAGCAGGGAGGAGGCAGTAGGTTAAACATGAAATCGAGTCCTTCTTGGCTTTGCCCAGTGCGCAAATGACATAAACGCTGTCACTCAGCCTAACCTGGGGGCGGGGCCAGGCCGAGCCCCAGACTGATTGACGTGGCGCCAAGCCAATCACGAGCCGCGGCGGGCGAAGGGTGTGGGTGAGTGACGCGGCGACGGGCCACCGAGAGGCCCGCGGGGCGGGGGGACGGTGGGTGGGCGGGATCGCGGCCAGGCTCTGGGAGACTGGCGTGGCGGCGGGCCAATCAGAGGGCGCCGCCGGCCTGGGCGGGGTCAGGTCCGCTTGACTGACGCGGCGGGCGGCCATTGAGAGGCCGCCGCGAGCTGGAGCCGCGGTTAATTGACAAGCGGACGGCGAGGCCGGGGCCAATGGGGCCGGGACTCGGCGGGGAGGCGTGACTTCCCGGGGGGGTGGGGGGCGGCCCGAGCAGCGAGTGAGGTGGAAATGGGACTCCATTCGGCTGTAATCAGTGTCATGTCGGTTTCGTGTAAACTCCGGTGTTCAGACATCGGAACAAAATGGCGTCTGCGAGGTAACAGCGGGTTCTCCTCTCCATCCGAGTGTGAGTGAGTGAGCGAGGGCTCGGGGCGGGGGGGGGAGGGAGGTGTGGGAGGGGAGGGGGGGGGGGTGGGGGCTGGTGATCTCCTCCCAAGGCGTCAGCGGTTGGCGCTGAAGTCGGGAGCTGCGGGAAGCCATCCCTATCGATTTGCGGTGATTATAGTTGGTGATGAGATGTGAGTGCCTGTCCTCGCGTGCGGTGCCGTGCGGTGCGGGTCTGTGTGTGTCTCTGTTTTTAAAGGACTCTTTAAACGCGATCGTTCTCGGGAGCCATTCCTGGCGTGTGACCCCCCCCCCCCCTCTCTCCCCCTCTCTCCCCACTCCCCCCCCTCTCTCCCCCTCACTCTCTCTCCCCACTCTCCCCCCTCTCCCCTCTCGCCACTCCCCCCCCTCTCCCCCCCTCTCCCCACTCCGCCCCCACCTCTCCCCCCCCTCTCCCCACTCCCCCCCTCTCCCCACTCCCCCCACTCCCCCCCCCTCTCCCCACTCCCCCCCCCTCTCCCCACTCCCCCCCCTCTCCCCACTCCCCCCCCCTCTCCCCCCTCTCCTCCCCCTCCCCCCCCCCCTCCCCCCTCTCCCCACTCCCCCCCCCCCTCTCCCCACTCCCCCCCCCCCTCCCCCCCCTCTCCCCCTCCCCCCCTCTCCCCCCACTCCCCCCTCAAACGCTGCTGCTCTGATGCGGTATTCAAAATACAAATCAGACTGACAGCGGAGGGGGGAGGAGATCGCGCGGCTTTTTTTCGCAGGTTGTCGAGAGGGCCTTTAAGTGATCGCACTGTTGCGGTCACCAGGTGGACAGTGTGTGTATGTGTGTCTCTGCGCGTCCCCTTTCCATTTGGACCCCAATTATTTTTGAGAGAGAAAAGACAACAATGTTTGATGTTTTGCTCCTTTGAGGGCAGACGGAGAGGAGAAGAGGGAGAGAGGGAGAGGAGAGGAGGAGAGAGGGAGGGGAGAGGAGAGGAGGAGAGGGAGAGAGAGGGAGGGGAGAGGAGGAGAGGGAGGGAGAGAGGGAGAGGAGGAGAGAGGGAGAGAGAGGAGAGGGAGAGGAGAGAGGGAGAGGGGAGAGGAGGGGAGAGGGAGGGAGAGGGGAAGGAGGAGAGGGAGAGGAGAGGGAGAGAGGAGAGGGGAGAGATGGAGGGAGAGGAGAAGGGGAGAGGGAGAGGAGAAGGGGAGAGAGGAGAGGGGGAGAGATGGAGGGGAGAGGGAGAAGGGGAGAGGGAGAGGAGGAGAGGGGAGGGAGCACTCGCGACAGGCGATGCTCTCTGGTCCGGACGGGTTTTTTTTTAATCTATAAATGCGCGAACGTGGGGGGAGCGACCGAACGCGTGAAAGTTTCTCGTCCGTGAATCCTTCAGCGACGAAAAGGGGAAACGGGGGCGAGAGCGTTGCGTTTTTCCTTCGAGAGACGCTGCATTCCCGCCGTGTGTGTGGGCTCCCGATGCGGTGACAGCCCCCGGGGTTCGGGGGAGATGGCGAGAGGGCGACCCGCTGCAGTGTGCGGACGTGCACGTGTGTTTACACTCTCTCTGTGGTGACATTCCGATGTAAACACGAGAGGCTTCAAATCGACCAACTTACTTCCTTCGGGTTGGATTACATTGCGACTTTCAGAGGACGGGTTTTGTTACTTTTTTTTTTGCGCGTGTGTGTGTGTGTGTGTGTGTGTGTGCGGTTTGACTCTTTTCCTCCCGCACCGCTCTTCGGTGAGTTTTGCTGATGTTGGGTTTGCCTTTTCCTTTCAGTGCTTCTCCTCCCGCGTTTGTTGCCGGTCCTGGAAAGCCGTGCGGTTGGATCTGCGAACGATTACTTCTGTACCCGTGGTCAGAAGATTAACTGAACGCAGCCTTTGGTTTCCAATGGGTGTTTCATTTTGACACGTTACAGGTGCCGCCGTTCAGACCCTGTTGTGGTTCATGTTTCGGTGAATTATTTCACTCCTCAGGAATACCTTTCAGTGAATGGCATGGAATCGATCCATCACAAGGAGGAAGAATAATTTCTATGGCCGACATTCTGCTTGAACAACATATTAATGGTCAACCATGGTAAAGCTGGCAAACCCACTATACACTGAGTGGATTCTTGAAGCCATTCAGAAGGTTAAAAAGCAAAAACAAAGGCCGTCAGAGGAGAGACTTTGCCACGCAGTGTTGTCTTTGCATGGACTGGACAGAAAGACTGTTCTGGAACAGTTGGAACTTAGTGTGAAAGATGGCACTATACTTAAAGTTACAAACAAAGGACTTTCGTCCTACAAGGATCCTGAGAAACCTGGACGCTTTACACCCATTAAGCCTTGCAATCTTTCGAAATCCACACAAGGATGTACGGCGAAAAACTCCAGTGATATCTATAATGTGGACTGGAATAAGCTCCTCAAAAGAGCAATTGAAGGATTGGGAGAACCAAATGGTTCTTCACTGAAGAACATAGAGAAATACTTGAGAAGCCAAATTGATTTGGCCAGTATTACCTGCAGTTCATCATTTCAACAGAGGATGAGACTAGCTGCCAAACGTGCTGTAAATAATGGGAGATTATTGAAGGATGGACCACTTTATAGAGTGAATTACGGGAGTGCAGGAGGCAAAGGAACAGCAAAATATAACACCTCTTCATCTCTCCCACCAGTCAATCTTCTTCCTTATGAAAAAGAAAGGGTAAGTTTGCCTGTAATTTGGGAAAGGGGAAGAGTTAACCGATCTGCAGTTTTCAACTGTTCATACAGAAGATAATATATGTTTTACATAGATTTTCAGATAAAGCGAGTTTGGGGAAAATGTCAGCAATTAATTCATGATCAAAAATAGTGAGTCACATTCAAACCCATTGAATTGTGTGGAGCTGTATTTTTCAGAGTGAGGTATTTTATCTGTCACTTTAGACTAAAATGAGCCATATTTGACAGGTTTGATACAGGTATATTCCTGGATTATTTGATTTTCTGTGCTGGTTGTTCATTGTAAAACTGAGTGGGCATTTGAAAGCCCAAAACCTTTGATGATGTATCACTGATGTTAATAGCACACAAAGAGGTATTTAGTAAATGGATTATTTAAATTAAATGATCTGATTACATGCTGAGCAGGAGTTAATCCCTATCAAGCTCCACTTTCTGGGAGTGTTTAAATGTCAGAAGTAGTCTTGTGTGGGTTCTTAAGAGGACTATGTCTAATTGCAAATGGTTATTTACTGTGTTTGCTGCATTATGAAAGGCAGTTTGGCCTCTAGGGGTCAAAGGTAAAATAGCATTAAAGATGACTTGAATGAAAGTGTACACTTTTTATCCCTGACACATTTCAAAATGTTGGACCTTTTGAGGCTGTTCTAGTTTCCTGTTGCTGTACAGCATTAATGTGAATGGAGTACTTAAACTTGTTCACTGTAGATTTTACAGTGCTCTTATGGAAAACATGACAACTGCACACTGTTCTGAATATGTATTCAGGCTGATGTTTTCCAGAATTAACTATCATGCAAACCAGCATTTTGTTAATGTATTTGGAGATACTGCTGTACCACTTTTATAATCCCCAAGTTAAATAATTGTTAAATTGTCCATGTTTTGCAGCAAATGGCTTCAGAGTTGTCTTTACAATCTGATCGGTGGAAGATGTGTCATAGGGTGGATTGGTTGTGGAATTTGCAGCCAAATTCCAGATACCCCTTCTGGCAAATTATAAGCTTAAAGACTCCATTGGCACATCTGTAATTGGTCAGCTGAGTTGATCATTATTTAGAAATCTAGCCTGAGTCACTCGATAGAATTAATAAACTTCTACAGAAGGTTAATAACAATGGATGATCTCTGCTGACTGCGAATGATTCCACAATATGAAATCTTCCAAAAGATATTAGTCCAGTAACAGTGTTACAGGTACATAGTTGAAATCTGCATTGGTTCACGTCAATTGTAGTACCATTCCCAGCCGCTGATGGCGTGTGTCATTTACTTCTGCTCCAGAAGAAAAATCGTGTCCCGACACACAACATTTTCTATAGAAAATAAACTAAACTCTAATTGAATTTAATTAAGAACAAAATAATATATATTCAGGAGGTTTTTAAAATAATCAATTTGTGGTTCTGTGTTACTTTATGCAAGGTAAAGATTCTTGAAGCAACCATAAATTTGCTTTTAAAGAATGGGTCACGTATGTAAAATTTTTGTGCAGAACGTAAATACTCCTCCCCTTCTTATAAAAAGGTTGGTGCAACTCAAAAAATGATAGATTACCCTCCTGCGGTGTGTGGGGGGTGGAAGTAAACAGGGTCTTGTTGGAGTTTAACTGCCTCTGAGGTGATTTGCCTAGCAATAAAATTTCAGAATTGAGCCAGCCCTCCGTGGAGGTCTCGGTCGTCTGGTTCCTGAGCCAGGTGGGTCCACAGTATTCCAGTGCACTGCTGATGACAGCACAGCAGCCTGGCTCATTGGTAAGACCTCGAAGGGCAGACCAATCAATGGGGACAGGGAATCATCCCACTCAGCTCCTGTTAACCCTGCAATCCAAAGCCCTAATGGGCAGGGTGGTCTGAGCCGGACAAGCAGCATTAAAGCTTGCTGGACAGCGATATCAACGGCAAGCAGTGCGGTTTTAGCTAGTTAGACTCCAGCAGTACCCCAGCGCACATTCTAGGGTCCCCAAGCCTTGGCTCTTGCCAACCTGTACCTAATACTTTCCAGAATTAGGTAAGCAGGACGCGTCCCTCCGGGAGAGAGTGCATATTCCATTGCAACAATCTATCTCTGGGAATTCCATGTATAGGTGGGATGCATGGAAACCTCAGCTTAGCACGGATACTCAGTTGGCAATGGGTTTCCGCATTGACCCCCAAAATATAGAATAATGGTGGGAAATGTTTAAGCTTTTTATCACAGTAGTTATGTAAGAAAGTTATTGTTTGGCATTGTTGGAAATAGTGTGATCTATAGTATAGAAATGTGTAAATGCAATAGTGTTTTTAAAAGCTAACAATTCCCACCTTCTTCCTCCATGGATTTTACTATGTTTGAGTATTTAAAGAGAAATACAATCAAAAGCACTACCCATTATTTATTCTTTATACATATAATACGTTTACAGGCCTCAACTGAACAGCTATTCTGTAGTTACTGAAGAGGTTATCTTTTATGATATGTATTTAAAGAAGCAATCTTAAGTTATCAAGGCTTCCAAGATGGTGAGGGAGCGGTTTTCAAAGTTGACTCCATTGATCATTTTTGCAGTGTAGCTGAGAAGATGATACAGTTGGATACCACTGCATTTTTTGTATCCCAATGATGCTTTTTTGGCATTAGCAATGTTGGGCGTTCTGAATGGTGTTGCGCTTTGAGTTGTTTTTGAACTCTACAGCTGCAAGAAGTGAAGTGAAAGTAAAGGTGATAAGAAAGATACAAAACCTGATTGTGATGGAGTACCATGAACTTGTAGAGGGTGGGTTAGGGACAACACCAGCACAAAACAAAGGGTGCAATGTAACAAAATAGATGAGAAAAATTCCTCTTTGGTAGATATGCTTGGGAGCTGATGGGAAGTTGATGGTTATAGTGGAGTCTGAAACATAATAATCCTTGCATTTGATATAGCGCCTTATCACATCTTTGAGATGTCTCAAAGCCTTTCACAGAATATACTGTAAGGTGAATTCACTGTATATTTTGTGGGTGAAACCTGGCAGCCAATTGCGCACAGCAGTGTCCCACAAACAGTCGTGGATTAAATGACCAAATTATTTTTATTTTTTTGAAGGGATTATACCATCATGTTGAGGGAAAACAGTATGATGATGGAAGACTAAGGGCTTAAAAAAAAAAGTAGCATGGAATCCTCAAATTCGCTCAGTTTCTTTGTTTGTATTTATTGCTTAATCAGCGCTCAATAGTAAATTTACCCAAACACCGGTCGGTACCTTTTGGGAGATTGACTGGTCTAAGGAATTTCAGCACTGACAATTCTACTCACAGATGAAAGAAGCTCATTTCACATTCACTTTTGAAGATGTCTCCCTGTGTAAAAGTAAAGATTAATATTTATTTTTCTCCCTTTTTTATCAGTGACTTTTATTAACTAATGGTCCTGCTGTCTATTGATTTGTAGCATTAGGAGGGAGATGTGAATTGAGGCTTGTTATTGAACTTCCATGCACTACTGATTTGAGTTGGTGCATAGTATCTATTAAAACAATTATGCTTAAAATTATACATTGGCATTCAGATCTCTATCAGAACAGACCACTTACTGTAGCTATCTGAGGATGGAAAATGTTTGTCCAGTTGTGTGCTGGAACTGCTTAGTGTTGTAGACTGCTTAATGCCTTTAGTTCTACCACCAACAATCTTACATACTACATAAGTAATTAATTTTGAGTACTGGACTGTATGTTTTCACCTGCCAATAGCCTAAGCCTTTTTTGTCAACTGGTGGCTGGTACGTTGACAGATGTTTTTAGGCTCACTGTGGCATCTGTCACTCAAGCTGACCTGAAAACACATTAATAATAATAATATTGGAGAGAAATGAATCCTTGTTATGATTTCATAATTTTAAAGATACAAAACTCATTACTAAAAGGAAGTCAGTGCAATAAAATTACATTTTAAAAAACAACTTTACATAATACATTGTTTTATTGTCTGATTTAAATCAGCACCTTCACTAATTGCTAAAAGTGAGAGCTGTCAATGATATCAATGTTATTGTAAGGAATTAATATTGCAAGCCGCACGTCTATAGTCTTATCTTTCGTGAGGAGGGGAAGGTAAGAGGGATTTAGGTGCCTTTGAGGTGACAAGAGATTGCAGATGAAGGGGGAATGCATCTTATTTAACTCTTAATGGTGAACCTTGTGATGTGAGTCAGGTAGTTCTGCTTATGCCAGGCACAGCTATGAATAAATCTGTATTTTTATAGTGCCTGTAACATGAAACATCTCATAGCGCTTCACAGTAATTACTGCATTTAATTCCTAATGGGGAACTCTTAATATTGCTGGAATGTTCATAGATAATCCTAACCTGGAAGATGTCAAATTTTTGTGGTTAATCACAGATTCATATGGCTGCTCTGGAGATTGTTTTGGCTAATCAAGGATTGGTATTGATGATTGCTGTGGAATACTTGCACTGAAGTTTGAAGTCGTACAAATCATTTGAAAAGTGGTGGAAAGAAAGCATAGAAGACTGAATTGTGTTGATCTACCCAGAAAATAAGATGATGCAGATGAATGTTCTGCATGAGCATTGACTGTTAATACAGATGTTTTGCTTTACTTTGTTTGACATTCAATGGGACATGTACATTGTGTCAATTGTCTCACAAATAGCTTGTCTGCTATTTTACAGAAGACTAGAAACACCTAATATGTACAGTATTTGGATATGGTGTTCATGATCTCATTGATACTTTGGGAATGCATGTATTCTGTTTGGTAGATGGGATATTAATAATGAAACCAACATCTAGATGTTGGTGAAGGAAAAAAGTGTTCATTGGTTGCTTGTGATTTTCTTAGTCCATTTTCTGAGTAGGTATTTTGCATTTGTATAAATATGCTAAAGTATTTTTCCTTCATCTTTAACCAGTAGTTTTAAAGATGATAGTTAATATACATTATACAGCAGTGCCACCATTAATTGTGTTACCAATAGATAGCTAGACAT